AATCTCCGAGTTGAGCAATTATGATGGGGATTTCCCTTTTATTTCTATTGTGTCACGTGTCTCATTATTCCTTACTATCCATTAACCGAGAGAGAGAACAACGTGAATACCTTTGATATTTTATTAGTTCTGTTGAATACGTTAGCAATAATGGTTTCTGCAATTAAAGAAAGGTGAATAACAAGCGCTTACGACAGAAATCTTTCAATTTTAATGCATTTCGTAAAGTTTCTTCGCAGGGTTTTAATCACGATCGATCACGATCAATCAAGAACACGATCGATCATCAATCGTCTAATTTATAAACTAAAGAAGGAGGGGGGGAAATAGAAATTAAGGGAACAATTAGAAAGGAATGGCAACAATGATTCTGACACATGATACAGTATCAATGGGTCATATATCAGGATCCGAACCAGTTATGGAGGACAAATATTGACGATACTCCACCTGACGAGCGGTCACGAAACTATATTTTTTCCTTTCTTTCTAATGATAATCTCTTCCCAGCTGTGAATAAATAAAAAAAAAACAATAGAAAAATTCTCTTTCGTATTTGATTTATGCGTAAATAAATTGTAGAATTCGTACTTTTGAATAGAGTATGTTCTTTAAAGGTATCAATAGAGCCATTTATACATTGCGTGACATTATCTCGTACACGACAATTACTTTAAGATTCTATTAAACACCTTTAAGCATTCTCTGATCAATAAATATTTTATTAGAACTTAATCAATGTTGATTAAACCACTAATAATAAGGTTAATATTTTTATAATCATATTGTTCTTATGAGAATTATTTACGATCATAATAAACGATAAATTTTATGGGATTATTATTATTTTTTTTTAATCATCATTATCTACATTATTAGAAGATAAAATTTAATACAAGAAAGAGGATTATTAGAAAAATATTATTAATTAAAAGACTATTTTTATATATTCTTATTGTCGTAAAAGGAAACGACAATCCAGGAAATTAAAAATAAAAAAAAAGAAAAGAAATTAATCATCCTCGGTTAAATGACTTTAACCATTTTCAAGCTTTAAATAATAGGAAGCATCTTGATCCAAATCAAATTAATTATATTCTTAATGATGAAAGGGGGGAGATTCGAAAGTTAAAAGAAGCAAACGTCTCGTTAATCAGTACACACGATGACATTGCTTCAGAGTATCGAACGAGTCAACGAAGGAAGGTCNTCGAAGTATTATCTCGACTGTCAGTAGTAAGTATTTGCCATAAAGATATTTTTCTTTTTTTACATTCGTGCAATTAATTTTATAATTTTGCTTAAAGAAGTGTATTTGAAATTTCAATTAATTATGGAATTAAACTCTTATTTGTACTTTAAAAAAAAAAAATAATAATAAAATTTTATGTAAAGATAGTTTTAAACAATAACACTAGATGGCAGCAAAGACACTAAAAAACACACCAGATCAAGGCCAATAGCGAGGTTGCGGCCGAAGTTTTCATCTGTAAAACGTGAACGTCGAACGTCGAGCGCCTTTTAAGTAAGAGGCGCTCGACGTTCGACGTTCACGTTTTACAGATGAAAACTTCGGCCGCAACCTCTCTAATAGCTTAACTAGGGAACCGGGGAACATTATTACGCTTATTACCATTACCTTTCCAAATAAATAAATGAATTAAAGCCACATGCTTCAATATTATATTTATATAAGTAAAACTAACATGTAAGAATCGATATTGTGCATTAAAAACAGTTTATTGTTCGTATCACCGTTGGGTAGTGGACGATGGTGTATACTTTACGGTCCTATTGTCTTTTCCCATTCGACTCTAGGCTATTAACTATTAAAAGCTTTATTTTTATTATCCCGCATAAAAATTATTTAATATCACTTTTATCTTAATACAAAGAAAGAGATCTGGGAAATGTCTCCAAACATCAAATAAACCGATATTTTACATCCGGATGAAAATTAATAAAGAAACAATAAATAAAAAAATTAAATAAAAAATAACACTGTTTATCGCAGCGATGGAGTCTTTATTAAGGTTCAGAAGTGACATAAAGGGGACGATGACAATGGGACATTGTTGGGTTAACAAAGATGGTTTGCGGATATGCGAGTTGTTATCGATTAATACGGCGATTAAAANTTTTTTTTTTTTTTTTTTTTTTTTTTATGTTCCTGTTTTGTGTCATATCAAAGTTAGATGGGCCAACAATAAGCCGAAACCTCTTATATAAAAATATGTACTTATAATAATGTGTCATTTTTACTTTAATAAGGTCACTACCCTGGATTATTGTGTGCATCCTATACAACTATTTCTCCCTCCCTTCTTTCCCCATTTTATTTATTTTTTTCCTGTGAATTATGGTTTATATAAGCTTTTGATAATGTATTACAGTACTTTATACGAATCGTTACGAGTATAAGAATAAATTTTAAAGATTTTTCTAGTAGATAAAAGCCTCTCTCAGAGAAGAAAATGTGAATTATGTTTTTTTTTTTTTAAATATATTATTATTAAAAGCGTAAATACTTGACGTAGCGCTCTTCTATAAATCATAAAGATGCAAATAACTGTATGTATTGCATTTTAATCAAGAGTTCGAGATACGAAGCATTAATTATAAAGTTTTTAAAACTAGTCGGATAGGGCATTATAAAGACTTATTTTTAATGACTGGACTCCATCGAGAAGTTTCTGATTAAAGATAATGCGAGACGGGAATGCAAATTGGTAAATTTAAATGATTATATATATATATATATAAAGAAGAAGAAACATTCCAGTAATGTAACTGTATAAACATTCAATATGTCTAGAGATAAGAACATTTACAAATTCTATATTGGTCCATAACCTTGAAATAGGTAAAAATGTTTACGTTACTTTGATTGATGGAATTCCTGTATAGTGAAGTTTTCCTGTTTTTTCTAAAATAAAATATACGTGCAAATGACTAAAATCGATTCTTTAGTAATTGATCATTAAAGATCGAACGTAAAAAAAAAGAAGAAGAAGAAGAAGAAAAAACGATCATCTTCGATTTACAGGGGGGTGTTTTAAAAGCGTGGTGTTTGCTACAAATATGTCGAAATTACCATTCTAAACACGCTGGCGGGTATTTTACATTTTATAAATTTTATCGGGGTGTTACTATTATTCTATATTGAAGAGGTTCGAGTTATTCATTAAAGGATTGATGGCATGCGGATCTCGAAACTAATGGCCATCTTATAGGAGATCAACAAGGGAGGGAGAGGGAATGCCTACAATCAACGCGTTTTCTGGCTACAGATGCGAATTAATCATAGTAATTACTTTTATTTTGTTATTCGTAGACGTCAAATTCTGGTATTTTATAATATAAATTATTTATATCTTCAACTCTTGTTACATACGTGATTACCGAGTAGAAGAAGAATATCGCACTGGATGACATTCAACTCGTTGAAATTCCATTTGTATTGCCTTATACTTAAACTAGTATTTTATCTTTAACTATTATAAGATGACAATATAATATTCTTTTAAAATAAATTTAACTCGTGTAATAATATTGATAATTCTCGATTGACATTTATCAAGAAGGGACGGGTTTTGTTTTAATGATTGATTAGACAAGTTGTTTATAATTAAAATATTAACATGCCGAAGATGAAGAAACTCAATAAATCTTTGTAAATATTCTCCTTTCATTTCTTAGAAGAGTTTAACGTATAGTTTATTTATGTAAATTTAAACATAATTATTTTAATTCAATTTAGTTTGGTGTATTTTTTTATTTAAAAAAAACAATCTTTAAACAAATATTTAAAAGAAATCGGTATATATTTATTGGTACAATATATTCGAGGGCGATCCTTTTGTGTGTCATTTCAATGAGACTGCAATCTTTTATAAATAAATAAATAAATAATTCATTGCCAATCTCAAATTTTCAATTAAATTTTCTCTCCTAGGAAAGATCATTCATACTGACAAGAGAATTAACTTTTAAAAGAATCACTTATAAAGAATTGCACTTTGAATTAAAAATATAGAAAAGGATATTTAATTTATGAATGTAATTTATATTAGATACAATGTATTTCTCCCCCTCTCTCTCTCTCTCTTACATGTGGGCTGGTTCATACTGTNGAAGGATAAGACAGACTTTCGTACTAGTTGACACTAAAAAAACTTACTTATATAACATAAAATATATGCAACTTACCTTTCATAGCGATAACTGAACGTTTGGGGATGTGTTTTCGAAATAGTAGATATAACTTAGTTCGTATATTAACCGCCGTTTGGCGCTTTATTAGCGTTGAGTGACCGAGAGATACTTGCCGACTTGTGTTGAGTCGTGCACCCAGCATTCTAGTGGGACCGGGGTGAGTCGCTGCACCTCGACAGCCTCAGGCTGCATTCGACCAATAGAAACAGTGTCGTGCAGCTGCAATCGGCCGTTTTGTTTATTTACCGTATCTTTCATTAGATTTCATTTCTAATAATTCGATAACGGATCCACGTTCGTGCCTTACAATTACTTCGACTTCTAAATAATAATAATAATAAATGGCACCATCAATTAAACATTATCGAAAGTGAAGACGGTTGAACCACTTGGGGGGTCTCTTTATGTTTTAATATATTTAACGTCTTGGATGATAGAAAGAAAAAAAAACACCATTAAGTTGTCAGTAATGATACGTAAAGATTTCTTAGCGTGATGATTATCATTATAGCCTTATACGTGGGAAGTTTAATGTTATTTATTTAAATATCTTCAGTTATTTGTCTTAATTGTATTCGGTTTATGTGTCCGATAACGAACAAAAAATCGAAGAATCGAAGACAGGATTAAAAATAATAGCAAAGTTTGCGGCCGAAGTTTTCATCTGTCAAACGTGAACGTCGAACGTCGAGCGCCTCTATAAGATAGAGGCGCTCGACGTTCGACGTTCACGTTTGACAGATGAAAACTTCGGCCGCAAACTTTGCTATTATTTTTAATCCTGTCTTCGATTCTTCGATTTTTTGTTCGTTATCGGACACATAAACCGAATACAATTAAGACAAATAACTGAAGATATTTAAATAAATAACATTAAACTTCCCACGTATAAGGCTATAATGATAATCATCACGCTAAGAAATCTTTACGTATCATTACTGACAACTTAATGGTGTTTTTTTTTCTTTCTATCATCCAAGACGTTAAATATATTAAAACATAAAGAGACCCCCCAAGTGGTTCAACCGTCTTCACTTTCGATAATGTTTAATTGATGGTGCCATTTATTATTATTATTATTTAGAAGTCGAAGTAATTGTAAGGCACGAACGTGGATCCGTTATCGAATTATTAGAAATGAAATCTAATGAAAGATACGGTAAATAAACAAAACGGCCGATTGCAGCTGCACGACACTGTTTCTATTGGTCGAATGCAGCCTGAGGCTGTCGAGGTGCAGCGACTCACCCCGGTCCCACTAGAATGCTGGGTGCACGACTCAACACAAGTCGGCAAGTATCTCTCGGTCACTCAACGCTAATAAAGCGCCAAACGGCGGTTAATATACGAACTAAGTTATATCTACTATTTCGAAAACACATCCCCAAACGTTCAGTTATCGCTATGAAAGGTAAGTTGCATATATTTTATGTTATATAAGTAAGTTTTTTTAGTGTCAACTAGTACGAAAGTCTGTCTTATCCTTCGTGTTGCTATTGTTATTAAATTATCATTCCCCTGTTTAGAAAAAGTAAGTTAACAATTAAATTTCTCCAAACACTCCATCGATTTTTACCTTTTTCAATTTATTAACGTTATATCAAACGTTATATGTACGAGAAACAGGTGTTTGATACACTACAGTCTTTTTAAACGTCCACTTTGATAATGATTCATCTTTTGACGTCATATTAAATAGGACATAACCAATTTTTCTCGTAATAAATACATTAAAAACGTTTTTATAACGCGACGTCATACCATTAAAGGGAGGTAATAAAAAAATAATCCTATTCTTTAATTACTAGATGAGATAGTGTTAAAATTAGAAACGTACTGTACAGGAGTATTTAATTATTTACCATATTTATCTCTATAGGAACTCGTTTGATATTCGATTAAATTACTTTGCCCGCTTTACCATTACAAAATTATGAAAAAAACAGGAAGAAAAGCATCACCTGTCATTCGAACGTCCTTGAAATTTGAGATTCAACAGGCTGGATATACGCTTGATTTATAGCTTCGGTTTGTTTCTATAAGAAATGGAGGAGGAAAAAAAAAATCACTGGAAGGGTTCATGGCGGAAGTTATGCCTGGAATGATAATATAAATACATACGAAAACGTCGTAGTAATTTAACTACTTTACGGATGTCTTTTTAATTAGTTATAATCGGTCGTCACTTATTTTTTATATGGTATAATAATAACCAGGTAAAAATTTAACAGAAACATAACCAAGTAAGGAGATAAAGGATTTAGTTTATTGTTGTTGACGATGATGATGATGATGAATGAACGATCTCTTTATACCAAATTACCAAGCTGTATGTATCTATGATAGATCTCATTACTCGGTAAATAGATTAAGCTACAATCTAAACTTGTCGTTTATATTATTACATCGATACGTTAAATTGTTTGATTTAATTTAATATTTAGTGTTGATTTTTGTGTATTTTTTTTTTCTTTTTCTTTTATTTAAAATAATTTCCAACGAATATTTTCTTTTGTAAACTTTTCTCTAATAGATGCGGACTAATTTTACTCGATAAGTTACAAGTCGACCCCCTATAACACTTTAATTCCGTTTTATATGAATTCCATGTTGTACGAGTCACTTAGATTTTACAAATACGTGAGCTGTTCACAGCCCGGCACACGTATTTGTAAAATCTAAGTGACTCGTACAACATGGAATTCATATAACACGGAATTATCTACCGTGTTATAGGAGGGGGTCGACTGTATTCTATATTAACAATGTTACATAAGATCACACCGGGGGATAAAATAGTAAGTTGAAAAGCTCGTTTAAATTGTAAATTCTTCTTCTTTTTTTTTTTTTGTTCGTAATAATTTATAACATTTGAAAGAAAATTAATTTAAGTAAACAGCTGGAACCTTATGAAGGAAAGATGCCTGTTGAACATACAATAGATTTTTCTATTTGACCTATCGGTATGTCAGCGGCCTTCTTCTTTACATTATGAACACGAGCGATCTTGAAAAGAAAAATCTTTATCGTTTGCCCCGGGCCAAATTCGTTCATTATAATGCATACAAAATAAAATGCTATTGTCTAGTAGAGCATCCCCCAAACTCCTTTTCAAAAGAGATGATTAGTATGGAGGGGGGATACAAAGGATCGTTTCTCCGTCGCTATCTTTTCTATCGAAAAACTATTCGTTTCTTCTCACTATTAGCCGTACGTGTCATTAAACGATTGGCTTTTTATAAAAGGGGGGGGAGATGTTCTTCTTCGTGGTTAGGAAGTGGAAGGAACAAATTCGGAAGATTGATCAACATTTTCTAAATGATCAAGTAAAGGAATACCAACAGGACAATGCACCCTTCTATTAACTCTGAGTGAAACATTTTTCCTTACTTGATGATTATTGATGGCGGCTGGAAAAACCTGTTAACATCTAAATTTAAATAAGTAGTCAAAGATTACGAAATATGAAATTTATAATTTAAAAAAAAAAAAAAATTTACTCTCTCTCTCTCTCTCTCGTCTTTATCAAAATTAAGACCCTTCGTTCGTCCCTTCTTCTTAAATGGATGGCCATTGTTTAACTTAAGTACTAGTAATTAAACAAATTTAAAGGAGTTTAATGAAGGTTTTAGTAAATACTAGACTAGAAAACAAATAAAAAAAAATGTGCCTACGGCTATTAGACTATTAAAAAAAGCATCGACAGCCTCTCTGAATATACTAATAAGAGTCATAAATATGCTAAAAACTAAACCTTTATAAAAAATTATATAGATTGATAGATGCTATCGTTGTATTATTGCTATGGTTCTTATCTCTCTGCTGATAGTCTTCTTCTTTGAAGTCAATGGCTAAGATATTGATTGTGATTTAATATTACTTCAGTAATTAATGAATTACTTTAAAAGATCTCTTATTCAAACAGTTTAAATTCGAAAGGAGATTCAGAATCGCCATTAGAATATAATTTACTTGACTCACAATAATCTTTTTTGGAATACAAGATGGCGATCTCCTACAAATTGTTTACGAATTTTTGACCATTTACGGATATTAAAGTATTAAAGTTTCAACTAATTGTATTATTTAACGAACAAATAAGTCATTAATTATATATTTGTTAACGTGATATCGTTACATTTCGTGCACTTAATAGGTATTTCGTAAGGGAAAAAAATAATAATGATATCAGTTAGATAATTCTCGGTGACAAGTAATCAAGAGATATTTCAACGATATTTGGTAATTCAACAACAATCGCGAGAGTCATTCGTCTTAAAATGACAAAAGCAATCCGTGTTTGGGATGAATGATTATTGATAAGTGGAGGACAACATTTAGTCTAACCACTCCCAACCGAATAAATCATTGTCTGACAATAAAACTATTCTGTTTGTAACGACGTGCTCTACATACACAGACAGAAAAATGTAATCTGTTGTTGTAATATTACTGTTTAAAATCGTTTTGTTTATCTTTTCTCTCTCTCTCTCTCTCTCCCTCCTCCTTCATCCCGGATCACCCAATCGGAAAACAAATCTGCAACTGTTACTTAGGGTTTTTAGTGTAAACTGGTTCCTTTTTTTTCCTCTTAATTTCGAGTATTTTGAGGTGCCATACGTGTCAAAATTTAGTTACATAATTAAACGTGTAATCACGATTACCATTCTTCAAAAGAGGAGGAGGTAAAGGTGATAAAATATTGATAATAAAACTTATAATATCTCTCTTTAACGATTAGATAACGAATTTTTATGAAGTTGCAAACCGATTAATCCACCTCTTACACACCTGTTACTATATAATTAATTTAGAATAATTCTTCTTTTTTTTTTATTAAGCTTAAATATAAACGGTAATCGTAATGACACTTTATATATATTGTAAATGGCATCCTTTCGTCGGATAATGACGATAAAAGAATGTAGCCAGGCCATATCCTCTTTGCGACTCGTTCTTATTGCATGACAAACAAACCAGACCCGGTGTTTAAGAGTTCACCCAGAACTCACGTTTTTGTACGATGTTAGAAGAAAGTACGCTATGAGTCGGTAAGTTGTTTTCGTAGCAAACAAAGAACTCCTACGCTTTCTATAAAGAAATTCAGGTCTTCTAGAGATGGAAACGATAATAACTGCAGTGAAACGAAGGGAAGAATGTGGGTTGAACTTTTGCCACTCCTCCACAAGTTAAGAAGTAATCTATAATAATTCCAGTAGGAACTTGTATTTCAATATGTAAATTTCATTTGTTTTTTTTTTTCTCAATTTTTATTTCTCATTCATTAAAAATAAACATAATAATAATATATTTTCGTGTAAGAAAAAGATAATAATATATAAGCTACACACACAAATATTTTACGATGATAGAGCAAGCATGAAGAGGTGTGTTCCTTATAAAAAAAAAAAAAAAAAAAAACAGGATTTCCTTAGGATTATCTGTAACGTACATATCCTAAAAAATGTAATGTTTAGACGTTAATATGACTACTTAAAATAACAATTGTTATTTTTGTAGTAAGCCAGAACTACCTTTTTACATAAATTACTAGCCGACTGGCATATTAAAACGGATTAAACAAGGGAGAGAGAGAGAGAATAATAACTTCTCTTAAAATGACAATTGTTGAAATTTTCTGATGCAAAGTTCACGTTTTATCTGACACTTTAAGCTATCATTTTTTATGCATTCTTATCGCACCTGAGACCGTATAAATAATAACTTTCTTCTCCATTTTATCCCCCTTTTCTAGTCCCGTTTATCGATCGGGTGTTTAAGTTATTAACAAAAATTCAAAGCCTAGTACTAACTTATAAAAATCTTGTCAAGGAGCTTAAAATAATAATTATCTTAAAGATAAGAATAAATGTATTTTATCTTATTTTATGTGCTTTTATTCTTTAGGGTGCGCCCTTATCCCCTGCACCCCGTCGTCTCGTAATTAATAAATGTGTCTCGTTTTGTTGTATTATATTCTCGTCTCTGTCTAGAAAACAATAATTACAAAGGAGAAAAAGAGGAAATAAATCAACTGGAACTATTAATAGAGTAATAAAAAAAAAAAAACAGTATAATTTTGTTAATGTTATTTGATTTAACAAGCGTGCTTTAGATGTATTAATAATATAATATAGTCGACCCCCCTATCTATTGATTATTCCGTTTTATGTGAATTCCATACGTATTTGTAAAATCTAAATGACTCGTACAACATGGAATTCATATAACACGGAATTATCTACCGTGTTATAAGGGGGGGGTCTATTGTATGTAATAATAGTAAAGCGAAGGAAGGTAACACTAAATTTTAATTTTTTTTTTCTCATAGAAAGGTGCAAATATAAAACAAAATTATGTTGAAAGTGTAAATTAATTTGATTAATGAAAGAATTATATTAAATTAACATTATAATGCGTGCTTGGCGTTAAAAAAAAACAATCGAAGTTCAAAAACACCATTAACCCACGCGATTCTTTTAAGCCACAAATTAAAAATGAATGACAATAAAGAGTTTTTTTTTTTTTAAATAAATATATAAATAATTACGGCTCTTATCCGGAAAGGAGTTACGTTTCCTACAATAAAGTTAAGAAAAGAATCGTCGTGACTTAAGTTTTTAATCCGACCTTCTAATAAACGACACCTTCTCCTTACTCGACCCCCCATTTTTTTTTTTTGTCGGCTTCTTCGTGACGACGAGGCGTGACGTTGAAAACTAACGTGACTGCGTAACTCATACACATTAGACCTTTTATTTATTAAAAGTGAAAAACCAATTCGATACACTAATTGACGTCATAATTAAGATTTTTGACTTCGGTGAGATTAACGAACTCTTTTTATCGAGGATGCCCGAAATCCGGAACGGAGAAGCGTAACAGGATTTCCTCCTTTACCTTAAGCTTTTTTTTTTATATAATATATATATATATCCTAGTGTAGAAGCTTTCGACATATGTTCGTTTTTACAGCTCGATATCGATAATAAATCTGGCATGGGGGTTTGTAAACGTCTACGTGGAATCTACAGCACGTAAACATTCAAATGTACATAAAATCTAACAGGAAAAAAATGTCCTAATTTTAAATTCTTTCTGTTTAATCTACCGAGTAACTTTTAACCCACAAAAAAAAAGAGGGGGGAGGAGTTATTTCGCGAGTGTAACATCCTCTCTTTTCCTTAAGAATGAGAGGAGGATTCTATTCTATAACCAAGGATATAAATTTATCTCGGTATTTCTCGATTAGAAAACACGTTGCAGCTGGTCGAACATTTAATGCCATCAATAAATCATTTCTAGGAAGCTTCCAGAGGATTTTTCGGGACGATTGAGTGTTAAGTTTCATAGACTTTTATGTATATGAAGAATATGAAGGTCGAATTCTGTTGTTTATTTTGATAATGAATTGTACAGGATCTTTTCGTTAATGTATAATTTAACTTCCTTTTATATCGAATAAAACCGAGTTTGCCCTGTTAGAAAATAGTAGAAAACACATTTAGATAAAGTCGAATCAGTTACATTAAAGTTATATGAGGATGGAAATATGATATTGCACTTTAATTTAATGATTGTGTAGTTAAATATGAAGGAATACATTAAAGAGTTAATGATGCCGACCATCTTTTCTAGTAATGTTAGAGGATGTCAATTAGAAAACTAAGTATCTCTTTAGATTTATAAACCAATATTTTAAATACGAAGCGAGTTAATTATGAGGATTAGATAGAAGAGGATAAATCCTTTAATTCATTTAATTCCTTATAATTTATTTTAATGATTAATATACGTTAATCCGATTAGAAAGTTTTCTTTATTACTTAATAGATATGTCGTAGTATTGAATAGTGTTTTAATTAACCAGAAATTTATGTGTATTCTCGTCTTATATATATATGATACTTTTAGGGGCAATTATACTGTTCTTCAAAATTAAATTTGCCAAGTTAAAAATTTCCTATTGAATTTGTTAAGTTTGCGTGCAGTTAAATAGGAAATTTTAAAAGATACCGTTGATAATATATTCATATTGTGTAATGCGCTAGTTTCTAAACGAATATAATATTTCAAGACACGTTTTTATATTGTAATTTATTATACGAATCAAGTTTTAATGATGTTAACAATATTTTTCTTCTAATTATGGTATTATGTGAAACACCTAAGAAAGAATAAATATAATTTAAGCTTCCTAATTAGTAGATAAAATTCTTTACTTTTTGTACGATTATAATATAGAAAATCCTCAATCTTCGCTTATCTAAATTACCTTCTAGATGATCGAATTTTTATTAGAATATAATAAAAAAGACATCCGTTAGTATCTAGAATCTATATTTATTTAAATATTATTATAAATTTCCTTAAGTATCATTTTCTTCTTTAGAAATTGTCCCATTTTCGATGACCGTTTTGGGACCGTTTAGAAAAATTTCCCATGGATTCGGGTTCATAAAAAGTTCGCGCGAGTTCAAACCAGTTAAAAATCCCCCAAAATGGCCCCATTATGAGAAGCCAAAACAACAACAACAACAACTCTGGCGACTTTAACACTTTGGTCGATTGATTAAAAAATAATAATAATAATAATAAACATTATTCATATATTAAGAATTTCCAATCACCAACGAACGACATTTAAAAGAGGTACCGCAAGAAGAATTAAAATAATAATAATAATAATAAAGGGGGAGAGCTGATGAGGAGATTATAAATTTCATCTAAGTAATAAAAATTCTCTTAATAGTAGCTAGCAGGGATAGAATAATAAAAGGAAAAGAGAGAGAGTGGATGGTATACAACTGGAGGACACGATGCAGTTTGGTAGATAAGAACCCCTAATTTTACTATTGAAAGGTACAGTAATTTGGCCCAACAGGCGTCGCTCGTCAGTGATCTCGGTCATTCGTCTTTGTAGCGATACTCATCAAAACAATCCTCTCAAGGTGCTTTACAAGTTGCACTCACCTTTGCCTTTCTCTCTCGTCTTATAACCCTTTTGTTTGTAGTCTCACGACTCGTTTTATTTTTCAAGGAAACATCCTTTTACACTGGACGAAACTAAACGATGATACAGTATCGACGATACGCCAAGTGTGATTGAGGTGTCGTCAGTGTCTTCAAAGCTTGGAATGACACATTTCGTCAAAGCTGTAATTCCATGCATCGGATAATAGATCAATTAGGTAAATTTATTTTGTCTCTTGTTTTAAATCTATGGGATGATGCGAAGAGAAAAATGGGATTCGGCCGTAAAAAAATCTTTAAAAAGTCGCCTACTAAATAGATTATAATGATAACTGTTTTTTTTAAAAGTCGGTTAATGAGAAAATATTCGAGTTTGTGCATGTTAATGAGAATTAAAAAGGTATTTTTCGATACGAACTGGAATCGAGTTTCGTAACTTACGTAGCCCGTAGGGTAATTTACCGTCGCGACGAAGGGGTTGTCTACAACTTTTCACATTAAGTAATATTTTCAGGTGAAGCAAAAAGTAAAAGTGGATCGCCCAGGTAAGTTAATTACAATTGTAAATAGTTATTTTAGTCTTTTGGTCGCGATTTTTAATGTTTTTTTTTTTTTTTTTTTGTAACGTAGCTCTTCCGTGGCTCCGAGTTTCGTCGTCCCTCTGAACAATGCTCGGTTGCGAGTTGGACAACCTTTGTGCTTGGAATGTCGTGTTACCGGCCATCCGATGCCCGAAGTACGATGGGAAAAATCCGACACTTCGCTAGTGACGTCAGAGAATGTTGTTTTGGAAAGGGATGGAGAATGGTAGGCAATCCTCTTTTATATTTTACCATTAATAATAATAATAATTTTTAAGACGGACGTTCTAACGAGAATCGAGGTTTGAATTAATGAGATACTCATTAAAAAACACATGGAAAACTGTTGTACCGATTACAGGACCTGAACCTTTTATTCTTGTTAACAGACCATAACATTAAGGAGGAATAATAATCATTACAGATCGTAGACAATGAGCGCTTGTTTCCTCAAGAAGTAGGGGAGAAGAAGAAAAAAAAAAAAAAACAAAAAATATAACGAAAAAAAACTCCAGCTTCGACAATAGTATTTAAGGATTTAAATTTTATAAATATTTTCCTTCCTAACACGAAAACTTATTATGTAAATTAAAGAATGATGTGAATTCTAATGAATTTAAAAGTTATAATTAGACTCGTTAGAATGACATAATTATTAAAGTCAGTGCAAATTATTGTTCTCGTCTATTATGTTTACGAAGCATTATAAATAATCCGATGGATTAAAACAAGCATGCATATATATTTAGACTGATCTTGTATCTTTCTAGGTGCAGATTGAAAATGCCTTGTTGTACATCCAATGATGTCGGAGAGTACATTTGTATGGCTAGCAATTTGTTAGGCTCGGTACGCACTTCGGCCCTTATAACTACCGAAGGTAAGTGATTGCTAAACAGCTAAGATATTAATCTCATTTGTCTTGTCGGACGTGAAGTGAATACACAGTTTTATCACTGGTTGTATTATTGCGTGTATACCTCCGTATACGTAAGTGTGTGTGGGTGAATGTTTCTATCGGTAGCTTAGCCCTTGGCATTATCTAGTCGTGATTCTTGCTTTATCTATTTCAAGTGTTTATTATACTCTCGAGTATTAATTTTTTTAACGACAGGAATGCCTTTTGTTGTAGTACAAAATGTCACTCGCTTAACTAGACACCTCTTCTTTCTCTCTTTCGTGCAGAATAAGATATATCACCGTTTTACGAGGAGAATAATGATTAAATAAGGCTAATTACGCGGAGGATTTAGCGTGTTGTTAACTTAGTTTGTCTTAATAGACAAGAAATACGCGGAGATAGAAACTATAATGAAATTGTATACTTCTGGTATCTTCTCAGGTATTATATCCTACAGATTATACAATTCTATTACACTAAACGGATGAACTGTATAATAGTAAATATGAAAAATGATGTAAAAATATTATTTACCAAAAATTTAATATTAAAACTGACACTTGAATTATTACAAGTGTTATTTTATTTGCAATATTTTATTGAAATTAGAGTGTTGATTTTACTTTATTAAACATTTCTCTTTCATCTTTCTGCATTGAAAAGTGGAATATTGATCTTAATTTTTATTATTAGATTTTATATTTAGAATAAATAAATTTGGCAACTAGCGAGGTTGCGGCCGAAGTTTTCATCTGTAAAACGTGAACGTCGAACGTCGAGCGCCTCTTACTTAAGCGGCGCTCGACGTTCGACGTTCACGTTTTACAGATGAAAACTTCGGCCGTAACCTCGCTACTATTTAACTTAACTACGAGATAATTAGAATCTCATTTTGCAGATGAAGTGGTAGGTCAAGATCCTTTAATGCCCAACGGAATTCGTGCTGAACCATTAGAAAAAAAAAACAATGGGCACGCAACGCAAACTGATAGTAAACATAGTTTCCTTTTTTTTTCTTCTTCTTTCTTTCTTTATTAATGGAAGCATTTAAAGTTTTTTTCTGCACATTTTCTAGATAATGTAAAAAAGAGGAAACGACCTCCTCACTTCCTCCTTCCTCCTCGAAGCAAGATGGTATCCGAGGGAGAAAATGTCCGATTTCTATGTTCCTATACGGGTTATCCGGAACCGGAACTCTCTTGGTTCAAGGATCAACTGCGACTATCCTTTTCCGGTGACAGATTGTCTCTGGTGCAAACGGAATCTTTGTACATTTTACAGATAAATTCCGTAGTTCCAGAAGACGGCGGTGATTATATTCTCGTATTGGAGAACGAATTAGGAAAGATCGAAGCTTCTGCTCATTTAGAAGTTAAAGGTAAAAGCAACTTTTAATTCAGAAATCAAAAGATTATGTTCTAAAATAATTTTTAAAACATTTTATCAAGTAACCTTTCTTGTAAATACTTCAAACTTGACCTTTTTTTTTCGCTTCTCCCTTACGGGCCTCTAATGCATAACTATACTATATACTCATTGTTCTACTTTTCCTTATTAGTAATAATAAACGATTGCCATTGCCTTTTTTTTTTTTTACTTATAACGAGTAGAATAGAGGAATCGTCTGGGAAAACGCTAATCATGAACTTTTTCTCGTCGACAGCCAAGAATAACCAGGGTTCTGCCTCCATTCCTAAGATCCTGAGACCTTTAACGGATTGTGTATCCACTGACGAAGAATCGTGGACTTTAACTTGCGAAGTGACCGGAAACCCGACTCCATCTATTCGTTGGTACAAAGATGGAAAAGCCATCAGTCAGAGTGGGGATTTCAAAATGGTGTACGACGGACACGAAGCCAGTTTGGTTATTTCCGAAATCTACCCGGACGACCAAGGACAATACACCTGTCTTGCCAAGAACACGCATGGAGAAGCCAAAACTTCTTGCTTCATGACCGTAAGAGGTAAGTAACACCTTAGTATTATTCGTGAACACACGTATAAAATCTCCCCTATAATAATCTATAATCTTTATAACAGATTCGAATTTCTATTGTAGTTAAATAACAGTTTAATGTACGAAGGTAGTTATTGTTCTTAAATTAATATAATTATTTCGAATTTTTTTTTAAAAAATACGTAGAAGCGGGAAGTCCTCCGAGTTTCGTGGGAACGTTGCAAGATCTGGAAGTGACTGACGGAGACAAGGTTACATTTACGGTTCAAATAAAAGGTTGGTAATTACCCAGTAGACCCCCCCTATAACTCTGGAGATAATTCCGTGTTATATGAATTCCATGTTGTTCGAGTCACTTAGATTTTANTGTTATAGGGGGGGTCTACTGTATTCTACATTAACTTTTCTGTATTTTACTTATTATTATTATATATATATAACCGATTAAACGAATCATCTTTAATCCGAATTTTACTAGAAACTAATTTTAATATGCAATAACAATAACAACATCTGCTGTCAAAAGAACATTTGTGTGTGTTTTACATTCAATCTGCTAATGAAGTAATAGTAAAATATAAAAACTAAAATACAATTGACTGTATAAAACAAGTTAAAAAAAAAATATATATATATATATACATTAATTAAGATGTTTTTTTCTGACGAAAATCTTATTAGAACGTGTGTCATCACCTCTTTCTTCTTCTTCTTCTTCTTCTTCTTCTAGGTACTAAGCCCATAGAAGTCATTTGGGTTCACAACGATCAGGAGATCAAAAACTGCAAGGATTTCTGTTACGTGTCTCACGAAGACGGAATCACTCATTCCCTAGTCATTGAAGATGTTTTTCTCGAAGATGCTGGACTCTACGTCTGCGAAGCCTATAATCATTACGGAGATGCCGAGACATTATGCAAATTATCCGTCAGAGGTATGCAACCTCGTAAAATAGTAATTTAAATAGTGTAAGAGCTAGTACGATGATGATGATGCCTTTCGTGATTGTTTCTAGATCGCCTCCTTAACTTGTTTTTTTTTTTTTTTAACAGAGCGTTTTCCTATCGATTGCCAAGACGAAAATATTCAAAGTACTTGCGATGTTACTCAAGCAAAAGAGTGTACCGCGGAGAGAAGAGTATATATATATATATATTACTTCTTTCTATTTTAAATTTATATTGAAAATTATTATTAAAAATGGTTTTTTTTTTTTGTAATTGTTTTAGCATTCCTCGCGAGAAATAAATACTTGTTTTAAGAACGAAGTAAACGAGGAAGAAGTCAAAGAACAAACCAAAGAAACCGAACCTAATGTAAAATCGCCCGTTTGTAGAACGGAAAGCGTTAAATCCAGGTAGATATATATAATAATCTACTGTTAAGATATTATTTTAATAATTTTCGGGTTAAATTTTTATAAAATATATCAGCTATTCGAGCTATACGAGAGAATAAATGAATGGTGAAAGCCCCGAAGCAGATTTGGACATAAATGTTATATAATTCCAGTAACGTTAGGCGGGTGATAAAGTGCTTAGAGAAAGAGATAGCGACCGGAATAATCAATCGTGTGATGTGTCAAATTAACTTTGTTATCCGGGGATAGAACTTCTTACTATAGATAATTTATATCGGATAGAAATTGGCCTAACCAGTATTTTTCAGACAATCCCCATTTACAATGGGTAAACTAGTAATAGATTATAGGAAATAATAGACGAAGGATGAACAATCACCGGATAGTTTAGAAAGGGGAGAGGAATTAAAAACTTGTAACCCTTTTTAAATTATATGTCAACTATTTAGAGATAATTGTTTTTGAGTGGTAAATTATCAGTAATTAGTCTAGCGATTAGTATCAGTTACAACTTTTATATCTTATATTCTAGTTAATTATCTTGTTTAAAAAGATATCGACAATTTCAATGACTTATTAATAAGTTTTTTAATTGAAAATTACTAACAATTAACGTGTCGAGAAACAGGAAAGAGATTTAATAATATATCAAAGGTAGGAAGGAAGTCTCCGTTGATTTATCATTTGTCACGTTTAGATCTATGTACTGTATTTTCTTTATCGAACTATTAAGGCCTGCGATTTCTTAATTCATTTGATATTAAAATATTTATTAAATTTTCAGTGTAATTTTGATGCATTCCGCATAAATTGTATAAATTTACAGGCAGCGCCCTACAATAGAAAACGGGGAGACCCAATCAGAAACGGAATGTATGCCTCCAAAGATATCTCTGAAATTGATATCCGCTCAAATCCTCAAAGGCCCACAGAGTCTAACAGTATTACAAGGTGAATCTGTGACGTTAGAAATTCAATTTTCCGGTACTCCCAAGCCTTCCGTCACTTGGATCAAAAGCGTAAGTAAAATCGAACCCTATTTATAAACCCGTAATTAATAATTGATTTCTCTGGTAATTCTTTCAGGGTCGAATCATGTGTTGCAACGATCGCGTTAAAATAAAAACAGATGACGAATGTAGTACACTCTTCATCCAAAATTCAATCGCTGACGATAGCGGCAAGTATGTAGTTACTGTAGAAAACAGCGCTGGTTCGGATTGTGGCTTTGCATCAGTGGCCGTAGTCGGTGAGTAGAGCCTACATTTTAATCCCCGAAAATACTGGCATGGATAATAAAGATTGCTTTGTGTGTCTTAGGTCCACCCGATCCACCCGCGGGTCAACCAAACGTATCTAAAATCATCGGACATTCGGTAGTTCTTACATGGTACGGTGCCACGTACGACGGAGGAAGTATTATTACAGGATACGTAGTGGAAATGTGTAGACTACCTCGAGACGTATGGGAAAAAATCAGCGTGTGCCACAGTACTTGTTTAGTTGTAAATAAATTATCTCCCGGAAAAAGATACAGATTTCGAGTGAGAACTGAAAATGCTCACGGATTAAGTAGACCCAGCAAAGAGTCGGAGATTGTACTAATTTCGGATGATGCTTCGGGGGATGAAGAAGGTTAGAAATTAAAATATTAATAAATAATGAATCGTTAGAGCGTTATTTTTGCTAATAATGCACAGTATAGTATATATATATATTTCGTAAGTTAAAAATTTTCCTTATATTTCTAACCGACTAAACACATTTTCAAGGACAATTCGTGTTATTGTTTTTATCCATTCGTACGATTTACTTTATTTTTAATCTATACAACTACAAATTCTAAATATTTAGATATATATCATTCATCTCTTCACCTCTATCTTATGCTTGATAAGTCGAATTGCTTACAATAAATCCAAATTATATATTACATGTTGCAATATCGCCTTAAATTTGACGATTTTTTTAAATAGATTTTGAAGTTTTCGATCATCGTATCGTAAATTTAGAAAATGGTTCGCACTTTCCGGAATTATACGAATTGAAAGAAGAAATTGGAAGGTGGAGTGTGAAATTTTCATCTATTTTGATGATGATCCTTGTATAGAAAATAATAATAAAATGTCAATACTTTCAGGGGTCGATTTGGCACCGTGTATCGTTGTATAGAGATGGCGACTATGGAAGAGAGAGCAGCCAAAGTTGTCAAATGTCTGAAGACTAAAGACAAAATGAAAGTGAGAGAAGAAATAGATATTATGAATAGATTGCGACATCCTAAATTGTTACAACTGGCTGCAGCTTTCGAAAATCCACGCGATATTATCCTTGTGATGGAATAGTAAGTTGTCTGGCATCATTTTCTTCTTCAAACTCAAGGTAAATCTAATAAAAAAAAAAAAATCTTTTTTATATTTAAGTATTTGCGGTGGTGAATTGTTCGAACGTATTATTGCTGACGATTTCGTTCTAACCGAAGACGATTGTATTCTCTTCATGCATCAGATCTGCGAAGGTGTTAGTTACATGCACCAGAATAGTGTCATTCATTTAGACTTAAAACCCGAGAATATATTATGCAAAACCAAAACGAGTCATCAGGTATGTGTGAAAGTATCTGAAAATTTCCGCTTTGTTCGATAAATATTGAATGGGGACGTTTTTCAGATCAAGATAATCGATTTTGGATTGGCTAGAGTATACGACCCAGCCGATAATCTAAGAATACTATTTGGCACACCCGAATTTGTGGCTCCGGAAGTGATTAGTTACGAACCCGTCTCACCCGCTAGTGACATGTGGAGTCTCGGTGTTATTTGTTATGTCCTGTAAGTAAGACTTTTATGATTTTTCTTTAATATTATATGTAAGGTGATCAATAATAACCAGCCAAAAATTGAATGTTTTTTTTTTTTTTTTACTTTAGATTATCAGGTTTATCTCCTTTCATGGGCGATAACGATGCAGAAACATTTACCAACATCACACGATCTCAATTCGATTTCGACGACGAAGCATTCGATGGTATTTCGGACGAAGCTAAAGATTTCATTACAAAATTACTTATTAAAAGACCTAAGTAAGTATAAAAAATTCTTATAAAAAAAAAAAAAGTAATTTGAATAATTTCTTATTATAAAATCTTCATTGTATCTACAGTAAACGAATGACAGCTTCGGAATGTTTAAAACATCCTTGGTTAATGGAGAATGTAGATAAAAAGAAAGGTATCCAAATCAGTACTGATAAACTGAAGAAATTTATAATTCGTAGAAAATGGCAGGTTTGTATATAATCTTACATAAATGTATTTACAAGTAGACCTCCCTATAACACGGTAGATAATTCCGTGTTATATGAATTCCATGTTGTTCGAGTCACTTAGATTTTACAAATACGTGAGCCGTTCACAGCCCGGCACACGTATTTGTAAAATCTAAGTGACTCGTACAACATGGAATTCATATAACACGGAATTATCTACCGTGTTATAGGGGGGTCTACTGTATAGTACATATGTACCTGGATCTTTAAAAAAGAGAATTTTTATTCTAGAAAAGTGGTAATGCCATCAGAGCAATCGGAAGAATGGTATCTTTAACGGGATTAAGCGGATCTAGATCTTCGTTGGGCAGCTTCAGTAGTGCCAGTAGTTTTGGTGAAAGAAGTGACAGCGAAACTTCGTCTCCCACTTCTACTTCTATGAGTAGATTTAGTAGCCAACCTCCAATTCAGGAATATATGGAAGGATTAAATAAGCACGAACTACCCGAATAAAATGAAAAGAAAAATTAATATAAAAAGTTCCTGAATTCTATTCGCATATATTCATTCGTTTTGTTATACTGTGCAATACTTTTTAAAATTTCTATTTATTGCCATCATTGTCTTTGTACCTTGTGATCTTCAAGTGCCTTATTAATAGTGCCTATCTGTATATATTGTGTCAAAAATTGATAAATTTGGAATTCTACCTAGTCCTGAATATTTTTGTATGTATACTCGCTACAAAATGATCACTGTAATTTGTGTTGTTTGAATTTATATTCTCAGGAAAAGATATTGATGCACTAATCCGAAAAATTTTTTTTAAAAATATTCTTAAATAACAGAAACTGTTCCATGTTGTATTTAAAAAAAAAAAAAAACTTTTTTTCTAAATTAAAAAATCTTTTATAACAGGCATTGCAAGATATCTTTTTATCCATAAATTTACATTTTAACGTTGCAACTAGAAATTGTATGTATATGAATCTTACTTTATAGCGCTTTATTTTATAACAAAAATAACAAATTTGTATATTAATCATTAGAAAAATATATAGCACCAACTGTTCCCAAGTTAATGAAGACTGTTAGTGTGGAAAAAAAAGTTTATACAAAAATTTAAATCGAGTTATTTTTCCGAAGTTAAGGTTACTTTTTCGGTTTGCTGGACGACGGACATCTCTCTGTAGGATACGGCTTTTCCTACCAGAGATGCATTGTCAACGTGGATCAGATCAACTGTGCATTGCGCTTCTCCTCCTGCATTGATTGCCTTTACCGTCAACTTTCCAGAATGATCAGATGTTGCATTTGGAATCACCAGAGAATGTTTGGTACCCTCAGACATTGTATAAAATGAGAGAGAATCTGTTATTATAGTTCCATTATGATACCATTTTACTTGTGGAAGTGGAGTACCCATAACTTCTACGTCCAGTTGGACGCGATCTCCGGATTTAAAGAGACATGGCTGAAGAGGATGGACGAATTTTGGAGGATTTCTGTGAGCTACAAAATTTTTAATGTCAGTAAGAATTAAATATATATATATTTTTTATTAGTAATAAATTTGACTTACGTCTCACAATAACATCGGCAGTGCTGGACGCAACACCGGCCGAATTAGACGCTGTACAAGTGTATCTACCACTGTCTCTTTCTGTTGCTTTTGAAATTTTCAATGCAGCTACGTTATCAGAAAATGAAATAGATAATCCAGATTTTGGGAATATTTCTTTATCACCTAATGACCATGTTACACTAGGCTCTGGATAACCTAATAATAAAAATATATAATTTGATTAAGTTTCTTATATAATATTATTAAATTTATATATTAAAAATATGAAAACCTTCAATTTGGCCTTGTAGAATGATATCTTCTCCCACTTCTACTACTGCACATTCTACCGGTTTCACAAATTTTGGAGGAAGAGATTTGCTCGGTTTAACAGAAACCGTTGGCGGAATCCTTCTGGAAGAAAGACCGTAAGAAACTGTGGCAGTTTCGGTAGCACTTATTGCTGTGTGATTGAGTTTAGAAACATCAAAATTTGCCTGAAAAATATTAATTTATTAAATGCTCTTCTAGCTTCTTGTGTCAGTCAAGTAAGATATATTTTATAATAGACACATAACACGTCTAGTTTTGAATATTCTAAAAAAAAAACTCTTTCATTTTTTAAAATTCAAGTTTTTAATCTACAAAATTATTTTAATTTTCTTATACAATAATTGAAAATTTCATTAAAATAAGGCATAAAATTATGATACCTTTTGAATTTCTTCATGGTATCCTACCGAAGTAGTTTGATGAAGTTCAAACAAATTGCTTTCTTGATGTAGTGTTCTGTTAGTAAAATTGCTTTGAGAAAGTAATGTTTTTTGACTTGTTTTTCTGAAAATATTTAAAATATAATAAATTTTTATCTAAATTTTTAGAGAAAATTCTATAAAATGATTATTATATAGTTTTATTTTTATATACATAAAAAGTATTATAATTTATAAATTAGCATATAAGTCAAAATTAAAGTTCAAATGTAGATTTAGATGTTCTAAAATATAATTTTTTCTTTAAAATACATGCACAATTTTAATAAAATCTATTATCATAATAAGGTTAATAAAATACAATTAATTATTACAAGAAATCTTTTTTGATAAATTTGAGTATTATTGTAATAACTAATAGCCTGGGATACTAAACTGCAATATGAAATGCCATCCATTACAAACAATTAGAATAGAATATAATTATCGTCATTATCGTGGGAATGTTCATTGACGACGAAAAATTTCATTCCGTTCTTTAAAGGTATGGTTTGATTCCTTTGCTGAAATTGCCCCGGACTCTGATACACTGTGCCACCGGCCCTGAATCCCAACAGTGTTTGTTAGCATACAATTAATTTTCTGAGACACTATTGTCAATAAAAAATCATACAACTCAAGAATATTATATCTGCTGTGTCAAGATTCTGAAATCCTGCAAACACGAAACTTCTGGATCTTTTATTCTCTCCACTTGAAAATATATTATGAATCAGTCTATAAACTGAGATTCAACTTAATTTTAAAAAGAACATTGGCCCACTGATGTGAATTTTAGTATTAGTAATAATATCCGTATCATATTTGATACGGATATTATTACTTTTGTGAGAATGATTTAAGAGGCAAAGTATAGAACTTGCATAAAAACGTTTTTCATTAAGTTTTCAATATGAGATGTTGTATTAAAGCAATAATTTGACTAGTCTTTTGGCGAATTCACTGAAAAGTCAAGAAACTTACTGTTGTATTCTTGAAATTATTTGATTGAATATACAAGTTTCTCGACACATGAATCTATTTTGACCTGTTTCCAATCTTTGTGTGGTTTTTTCATGTGACTGAATCAGGTAAACTTGTATGAGATATTATTAATGACGTTTATTGATCATAATTGGTTTTTATATACAATTTTGATTTAAAAAAAAAAAACAATTTTCTTTACTGGTTTTAAGTGTGTCACTAAATTTGCATATTAGAGAGCATGAAATTTAAATTAAGATTAATGTCTAATTATGTAATACTTGATCTTTATTTATTATTATTAAGAATATGTAATAAAATTATTTTTTTTATCAAAAAAAAAAAAAAGATTCAAACTTTTATTAATTAATTCTGAGTACACAATTTTATTTCAAAGTTTTAGTACTTTAAATTTGCATAATCCTAAAACTTAAATTACATTAATTATCATTGAAGAATCAGGCTATTCACTGTTGGGCAATAAAACTAAGTTTGTTCTTCCAAAATTTATAAATTGCTTTTGTAAATGAAAATATATACTTCTGAAGAATGCACAAGCTAATCAACTCATACATAATACATTTCTTTTGATCATATCAGAACATTCACATTTTATAAACTATTCCAAATTATGTGAAAATGAGTGTATGGCTCTTTTTCAAATTTAAAGGGTTCAATCACACCTACTTAGACTAAAAAGCAAACATTAAATTTTATTACAGATTATCATACAATGATAGTAATTTTGCATAATGTATAATGCAACTGCTTGTGGAAAATAAACAACAAAGGAATGAATCTATAAAGAAATGACTAGCTATTATAAACATACTATTTTGTTTTTACTTAGATTTATTTTTTTGTAAGAATGTTAACAAACCAGCATATATTAAAAAATTTATCAAGTTTACTTCCTTGTATCTATTTGAGAAATGTTTATACGACGAAGTATGACATTTTAAAAGTAAAGAGTAGCTCATTTTATAGGAAAATAAAACTTGTGCAAGTAATTTATGTAATTGTGAAATTTTATATTTTAAACAAATATCTATAAAATAGAATTGCTGTACCTTTCTTCAATGCCATTCCAAACTGACTTGGTGGGAGATTCTAAAATTAAAAATTACACAATTAACAATTGTCTAGTTATCCTTAAGTTTTTTAGGATTCTTACTTTTGTAACTATATTAGAGTTAATGGAAATAAACTTATAAACTATTATAACTTACTTTTTGAGGTTTGCATATGTAATAAAAGCTCAAAAGCCAAAAATTTTTGATGATAAATTAGCTGCCTTTGTATAATATTTTATCATTTTTTTAGTACAAATTCTTGAAAGAGCAACAAAAGTTGTTCAATAACAAATGTTATTTAACATATTCATTAAAAAATATGAACCTCCTTTAAATGTTATTTGTATCTTATGATTAAAAACGAAGCACAGATGTTGATATTATGAAAGAATCTTTCAAAAAGTAACTTTATATTAATAAAGCTAACTATTGTTTAAAAACATTACCTTAAATCTAATTGATATCTTGTTCTATTTAACTTTTTAAAATTGTATTTCATGTACTAGGCTTTTTCCAGTATTTAGTAAAAGTAATAATAAATAGAAAAGATCACCCATGAAGATTTTATGGGATGAGTTGGTTGTATCCCAGGTCTCCAGCACAGTAGACTGACACTAACTGCCTTTGTAAAAATTGCAATAGCCATCCGAATAACAATTTACAGCTTTTCTATTATTATTAATTTTGTCAGATTAGACGAACAAATGTATAATGTGATTTAAAACAACAATTTTTCAGAATTAAAAGTTTGTTCTTTTGACTATATTCTTCTTTCAAGAGTTTACTCTAAAGAATAGCTAGTTTAATTAGAAATTCTTGATTCAAACAATAAAAGTTTTCAGTTTTAGAAATTATCATTATTAAGAAGTTTTCACACTATAATAATAATTAAAAATAGGAACCAATTTTCAATGAATACTTTCACTTTAAAATTATCCTCAAAGAGAAACTACTCATTGAAAATTCAACATAAAAACCAGACTAAGTATCCTTGACACTGTTGTTAAAAATTGCAAGTTTTGGTAAAATATTTATTAACAGAAATTTAATATTGAATAGAATATGAGGGTTATTATAATAAAGAAATTAATAGGAAATCTTAATTACCAACAGTTAAATATGCAGAAGAAGTAGCTTTTCCACTGTTATTTTCAGCTGTTACACTATATCTTCCACTGTTTTTGTCAGAAGTATTAAGAACTACTAATGACTGCCGATGGCCATCTTCAGTAATAATATAACTTTCACTTCTGCTGAGTGGCTTGTCTTCAAAATACCATGTTACCTGAAAGATAGAAAGCTTGATTTTTCTACATTTTATTCATAATTTTGTAATTACTTGTACAATGCCAGAAGCACTTTGAGTTAAAAGACTCATGGTGCATGATTACTTACTGCAGGTTTTGGTGTTCCACTAATTAAGCAATCAAATTTTGCTTCTTGTCCCTTTATGACATGAGTATTCCGAAGTAAGATAAGAAATTTTGGTGGTATCTCTGGAACGATAGGTTTTTGTGGTACTTTAGGAGATGATGCAAGTATGGAACAATAACATTTTGCTTCACCATATTTATTCAATGCTTGAACAACATATTTTCCTTCATCACTCTGATTAACATCATATATTGTCAAAGAAAGATGTCCAGTTTTATGATCATTATCAATCTAAAAAGTGTATATTGTTATATGTATAATTCATTTATGTATTGCTATTTGATTATTATTTTAAATCTTACTTTATATTTGCTAGAATTGTGTAATTTTTGCCCATCCTTATACCAAAAGATGGTTAACTCGGATTCTCCAATAACTTTGCATTGAAGTTTCATGTTTTTCCCTTTTGACAGTGTTATGTCTTCCAAAAGTTGTACAAATTTGGGAGAGGTAATTCTTTCTTCTAACACTCTAAATTCTTTATAACTGTTTAAGTAAAGAGCAATAACTTTCAAAATAATGTAAAGGATTTGTATACAATATATTTAATTTTTTTTTTTCAAATAACTGCAGAATGACTCTTTACAACATTAATATACTGTTTATTTAAATTAATAAATTTTCTACTTATAGGTCTACTATTCAAAAATATTATTATTATTATTATTAAAAATATTTTTTAAAGTAAATAAAATTTTTATAAATGATTTTTAATTTGATTAATATGGCATTATTACTTACATTTTATGACTTGGTGAGTCAGCTGTTGAAAAAAGAAAAATAAACATATTTATTTATTTATTAATATTAAAAATTATTTAATGATTTCATAACTATTCTTAATTTTATAAATATATTAATTAAATATTTTGCAAAGCAATTTATAATTAACATAAAGTTAATAAAATATAAATACATAACCATACCCCTAGTATCTGAATTCCTGCTACAGTGAATAGTTTTTTTTTTAGTTCCCATCATAATATCTGAATCAAATAATCGTAGTATTACAAATTTCTTCAAAGAGCATTTGTGAGGAAAATTGAAATGTCACTACAGTAAAAGTGGGAAGTATTCTACACTATTATAGTACCACACATCACACTATCTATTATGACCACAGTAAACTTACTGTATGTACACATTTACTTTTTGCTATCTTTCAGTGTTCTTTAAAAAAACTTTTTTGTACTTATATTTATGTGTTAAAAAAGCATGTGTGATACTGATTAATGGTAAATGTAAAGCATGACATCACAATGATCATCTCCTCCTCTTTATAACATCGTCACATTCTGAACTATCCCCTCCTGCATGAGGCATGACATCATTTACAGACAACTCCTAGTGATTTTTATCACAAAATTTCAAATGCAATCTTATGAGCTTATTTTTAACAGTTCATTACAACAGGTTCACTACTTAAATTTGTTCATTAGTCCTATTAGAAATTTTATTTGTTGCATTAATGATTACAGACCTATACTTTAATGTTCTCATTTACTTGTTTACAATCATGCTAAAGCCATGGCATAATAGGTAAATAGGTTATTTTGCAACATTTTTTTGTCATTTGAGAAAATGGTTACTTTAAATGAACCAGAACTAAGTTAGATTTTTTTTCCTGTAGGAAATAATGATTTCAATGTCAAGAGTTTTCCATTTTTGGGAACACATTAGATATGGATAATCGTTATAGTTGCATATCAAAAGTTTTATACATTGTTTAATAAAGATTCTATTAGCAATCACATTTTACTATAAAAATTATGTTTAATATGAATAGATATAGGAGAATTTGCTGAAAATACAAATAAAACATCCAACTTTATTAGATCTCATGAAATTTATTTCAAATTATTTGAAATTAGCTTTCTCTTCAGAGACTTATTGCATTCTAAGGAAAATTCTACCAATAGTTGGAAGATAAATTCACAAAAAGCAAAATGTATTGAGAAATTATTATTCAAAAAGGTATGTGGGGAGTGACTTTTCTCCACTACAAATCTTAATTTCTATATTTGTGGATTTTAGCAAAAACAAAAAGCTTTGTAGAGGCTAGAGTAATACCTATATTATTTAAGAAAAAGTAACTTAAAGAAGATTTAGGAAGTCTTTTAGCAAATATGAAAAACCTTGAATGTCCACAGAGGGCAAGAAATTAAAACTAGTGATGGAAATTAATACAGTAATACCTCGATTTACGCTACCCCGACTTACGCGAATCCGGAGTTACGCGATTTTCAAATCTCGTCGATTCGTCTTTTGTTTGAGCGCCATGCAACTCTCGATTACTCACTCCCCCCACGCTATTGTTCAGCTTACATGTTCGGACGTGTTGAGCGGAATCGACACATAGCTACAATTTATTTTGTGTTATTTATTTCTGTGTTTGTTATATCTACGAAGACTCAAGAGACTCTATGTGGTGAATTCTTGTAACCGTGAACGTTGTATCTTTTGATTCAAAAGATGAGATAAGATTAACAGGAACATTTATTAGCTTACATACATCTGACTTGGAGTTTACACAAATTGCGAAATTATACCCCGACTTACGCGGTTATCGCTCAGTCCCACCTATCACGTAAGTTCGGGGTATTACTGTATTTATTTCGGATTTAGAATTAGATGATTGTAGTTAATAAGTTTTTGTACTATGATTTATATATATATTCATTCAACAAATGGCTGAGTTATTATGTAACAGATAATTTTAAAACTACAAGTAATCTCCATACAATACAGTTTCACTCTAACATAGAGAAATGAGACAATCTTTGCACAACATATTACTTATGAATGTAACATGATAAATGGATACAACACTTGAGCAGAATCTGAATATAAAGTTTTAAACTCACTAAAGATGTATCCATTTTTCTTATAAACTACAGTGATTTGTTCTGTTATACCAGGGTCCTATGTTAGGATTATAACCTTTGTGAAGAGAAGAAATTTTACTTTTAATTAATGAAAAATTGTTGTCCTGTTATTTTCATGTCAAAACAAACCTTCAATCAAGGAACTGACTTTTTATTTTGTTATTGTAGAATACGAACAAAAACAAATAGCAAGATCAGGCAAAAAGTACATTAAAGTACAATTCTTAAGCTTCAAAATCATATATTTATTTTTCAACATAGTCACCATTAAGGCTAACACATTTCTACCAACTTTTAACAAGTTTTTTCATTCTGTCACTGAAATGGATGAGCATTGTCATGTTAGAAGATTATTGTTTCCAGGCTGCCTCTAACATGACAAACCCAACATCAGAGCTGTTTTAGAGTCTGTATGTAGTGAGAAGAATTAAACATTGCGACGAGGGGCAACGATAATTGTCTGTGGCAGTGATCGGATGTCCGCTGCATGTTTCATCAACAATTATGGCTTTTCCAGGCTTGCAACCACAAAATTTTATTATTCATAGATTTACAGTAAACCTATCAATAGCATTATCACCATAAACAGCCTTTAAACGACGATGAACCTCAGTAGGAGTCACTTTTTCAGCAGTTAAAAATTCAATAACAGCACGCTGTTTAACTTGCGTTGACATAGCACTAGAACACGTCTCCATATTTCCACTTCTCAAAATATACTGAATGAACGCAACAACCTCAAACTGCATATGCGCATAGAGGGGGAATGTTACTTCCATATGGAAGTAACATTCCCCCTCTATGCCTATTGACTCTATCCCAGGAATGTTACTTCCATATGGAAGTAACATTCCTGGCACACTTCTGAAAATCATTTCGTCCACACTCTACAAGCATGTGTGCATTACTTTTCAGCCTACCCTCGTATTCCAGAAGTTATATCTTCTCATCTTCAGCAACTTAAATACTGTTCAATTTAGAATCTAATGTTTCAAATGTTACATTTTAAATTCTAATCATCTAATATTTTGACAAAGTAAAAAACTCATTTCCTTGAGTGAGGTTTGTTTTTGGTATGAAAATTAATATAAAAGATGGAGTTGTCATTTTTGTATATCAAAGATTGCTATTCTCTTTCATGAGAACTACAGATTTTAAAGTTAGAAACATTTAATATACTGTAAAATGAATATAATAACACCAATCTAATGAAGACAAAAAAATTAGGAACAGAAAATTAAAATCTAATGAAAATATATTACAGTGAAAGATTGAAAATCTGAACTAATTGGAGCTAGACTCTATCTGAATTTTCAAATATACATGTAAATTAGCATTTAAGTACCATAAACTATAAATACACTGTAATTTATGCTTAGGTGTTCTAAGTTCATGCCAATATTTCACAAGGAATATAGGAATACTTACAGATATTACAAACATAATTTACAGAATCATTATATTTAAACAAAAAATATAATTGATGTATTTTCAAAATTAAAAGATTATGAAATCTGAATGAAAATTAAAACATCAACAATAAAGTTATCATTGAAAGGGTTAATTAATATACAATTTTTGTCATCCAGGGTTTTGATACTTCACTGTATGTTTTATGTAAATTATTTTATTTTTAAAAATTTGTATTTTGGCAAAACAATTTTAAATGAAATATAGAATATTTTAAAATTAAGGCAGATTTGACATTCCTGATATTTATGATTAAAAAAAATCACTAGCACAAACTATAAATATAAATACATACATTTTACTGATATGGTGCATTCACTAGATGCTTCTCCTGCAGGATTAATTGCTACACATCTATAACTTCCAGCATCACTTAAACTAATATCTTTGAGGATTAATGAGCATCTGTCACCCTCAAAAAGCAATTTCAGTTTATCAGATTCTTTAACTGGTTTTCCATTATGATACCAGATTACCTAAAAAACATTTTTATATCATCATATAATTTAATAATTTGATAGTAATTAATTATAAGATTTATTATTGGCATGAGAATAATTTTATCATAAATACATTATAAATAAAAATCTAAGATTTACAGTATAAAATATTTAATAAATGCATTAATTCTGAAATGTTTTATCATATTTTTAAAGAAACTGAATTGAAATAAATGTTTAGCTATTCCTAACCATTTAACATTGAAGTCCAATAAAAATCTCAATTAACATCAATATCTTTGTTAATATTAATTTTTGCTTAATATAAGAAAATACCACCATTTACTAATAACAATCATACTAAATGAATGTATATTTACATATATAAAACATTGAAAAATTGTTTTGATTTTTCTATTATTTGTATAAAATAAAATATTAGTATGGATAACTTTATGTATATAAATATTTATATTATTTGATCAAACATGATGATGTATTATTAAATTATTAATCTCCCAAAATATATTTTTAATACAAAATAGATTAGATAGAAAAAATGCATAACTACAACTTGAATTTAATGATATATGACAATCATTTTACATAAGTATGACACGAGTATGACAGCTTTGAATAGCTTTCTACAAGATTAATCGTCTTACAACTGGTTTTAAGTCTAATTTACAATGCAGGAAAATTTATATGCAAACTAGGCATTTGGCATTTGTATTAATTCAATGTGTTAAATCTTTATTCTTTTATAACTCAAAAATTAAAAAGTTTACCTGATGTATTAGATATTTTAATTTAAAATAATTAATGACACAAATATTGATGTATTTGTGATTACTATAAAATTACTAATTAGATATTGAATAACGTTTTGAAAGCTAATAAAACTAATTTAATGAAGCTCTACAATAGAATTATTAAAAACAATTTATGCTTGTAATAAATAATAATTCAAACCGACTTATTATTTATTAAAAAAAAAAAATTAAATGTAGATGCCTATGTTTAGTAGTAATATCTTATTTGTAATTTTATCATTATTTCTACATTTTTATTTGAATCTTTGTAATAAATTAAAGATATATCCCATTCACTAATTTATATGACAAAAAAATTTAATGGATTTTATACATAAAGTTAAATATTATGCTAAAGGAACAATTATTAATATTTCTGTTTAAATTTAATTACTGTATTATAAAATAATAATCCTTACTTCAGGTTCTGGATTTCCAATAATCACACAATCCAACTGAATACAACCATTTACGTAGACTTGCTGACTTTCCAAAGCTTCTTTGATAATTGGTTTAACAATGTCTGTATCAGATATTGCATCTGAATCACTAAATAATTGGTAATATATTTTACAATTTCAGTTTTTAATACAATAGAATATAATATGAAAAATTAATAACCATAAACTCACGAAGCTTCTAATATTAATTTTTCTTTAATGCAGACATAACTAGATGAAATGGCTTCTCCTGCAAGATTTCTAGCAGTGATAGTATATGTACCAGAATCTTTAAGAGTAGCAATTGGCTTCTCTAGTACTGCTTTATTTTGATCAAAACGAAGCTGCAAAGGTTTTGATTGTTTCAATAAAATATTACATACAACATGTTATTTTTTAATAATAATATAATTATCAAAGTAAAATACAGTAAGGGTCGTTTATCTGAAAGCCAATCAACCAAAATGTCGGTTAACCGACAGCATTCCAGTCGGATTGTGTCAAGCTGAATCAAATGTTTTTGATACTAAATTAACTTCTAAAGTATAACTTTTTTTGGTTTTATATTTTTCAATATATTTATTTTGTTTGTACAAAATAAAGAAATAATTTTTAACAATACAATAGCCACAATTATTATTATAAAAATTTTTGTTAGGCTTAACATCGACAAAAATTCAACACAAAGCAACATGCAACAGAGAAAAATTTCAACATGGGATAGGTTAATATATTTTTTTGTACATAATCGGTTATCCGAAAAATAAGTTATCCAAACAACCCCAGTTCCCAATTGATTCGGATATTCGGATTGATTCGCTCTACTGTATTACAAATTAAATAAAATCATTGTTATGAAGTACAGTTCATAGTTAAAAAGTCAAACAATTTAATAAAAATCTCTCTTGAAATATATCATTATAATCAGGGATGGAATGCTGTACCAGCAGATAGCATAAAAAGTATGATAGCCTGTACATAATACTGACAATTTAATAGTAAGAAACTTTCTATAAGTTCAGGCAAGAAGTCTGGTACTGGCATGATAAAAATGAATGAAATGAACTGGGCCAATTGGATCTGATGTCAAAAGTAAATGAGGCATGGACCCCCCTTTGTTGGAGGCTATCTGTTGTTGAACATGTAATATTGTCAGGTAATTGTCTGTTGCCATTACTGCATAAACTCCTGTCAAGAAACAAGGTACAGAGAAGTGCTAATGATAATATTTTGAAAGAGATTTTTACTGTATTAACATAATTGTATTTGTTATTTAAAACCTTATATAAAAAATTTATTTATTTGCACGTATTTAATGTTACGGAAATTTATTTATATGATTAAGTTAAAGATATATACAAATAGATTTTCTTGTAATTCTGAAAAAAATCTTTTAGAAATTTACCCTAGTATTGCTATTTTCCTTTAATATTACTCCATTATGAGACCATGTTAGAACTGGAGATGGATAGCCACGAATTTGACATTCTAAATGTAAATTATGACCACTTCTTACTGTGACATTTGATAACGGAATTAAAAATGCTGGAGCTTCAATGGGAAATAAAGCTGAAAATAAATATATATAATTTAATAAATGTACATTTTAAAAGTTAATAAGTAATAAATACTTTTATTTACAAATGATATTTAATGTAGCACTGCATTCAGCTTGTCCAGCTTTATTTGTTGCTCGACAAGAATAACATCCTTCATCCTCTAGATGGGCTTCTTTTATATGGAGCTGACAAAATCCATTATTAAAGATGATAACATAATCAGGTGAACTATCAATACAGACATCTTTCTTATACCACGAGACAAGCGGTAAAGGATTTCCAGTGACTTGACAGGTAAATTTAAATGATTCTCTTTCTTTAACTTTACCAGGTTCCAATTCTTTAGTAAAGTGAGGTGGTTCAATACGAGGTCTGGTTTCTTTAAAAATTGAAGATTAGATGAATTTCAATAAGCTAGAACAATTTGTAAATTTTTAATTAAAGTATATATATTTTTACTAACCTTTTACATGTAAATGGGCACTACTTTCTGCTTTACCAAATTCATTTTCAACTTTGCATGTATATACTGCAGAATCTTCAAGTAAAGTTTCTTCAATAGTTAAAGTGCAAATATTGTTTTCCAAACCAATTGCATAGTCAGGATTATTATAAATCAACATATCATTTTTATACCATCTAACCTAAATAATTAAATTAAAAAAAAAATAAAAATTAAATTAAGTAACACTTTGCCTCATAAATGCAAATGACAAAAAATTTTGGCAAAATTCTATAATTTTAAAGAAATTTTATCATTATTTCTACATTTTTATTTGAATNTAGAATAGCATTAAAAAGATTCTATCCAAAATAATGATTTATGTATATTTTGAATAAATTTCTGTAACCTACTATAGGATTATGGCCGGCTTCAATTTGACAATAAAATACAAATTTGGATCCTTCTTGCACTTGGCTATCGTTTAAGGGAACTGTGAATATGGGAGGTTTTCCATTAATTGTCCGTCTTTGAAGTTTTGGACTTTCAATTATCTCCTTTCTAATAATTTTTGGAGAAGATGTATGAATTGTTGTGACTTGTTTTTCAGAAATTTCAATTGGTTTATGAATAATTGTTGAAAATTCTGAATGAAATTGTCTTGATGCTTCAGCCTTGATGTCCTGTTAGAAAAATTAAAAATAACATTATGTATTTAAAATGCTATTTTTATTTCTTAAATAATGCTAATTTTTCTTAAAAGATTAATATTAAAAATTATTAAAAGTATATAAATAAACACTTTTCTTTAAAAATAAAAATGTTTATTAATATAATTTTAATTATTTTCTTTTAAATAAATTTTTTTGATTCTAATATTATGATCAAGAAATACTTAGAAACTTATTGAATAAATAACAATATTCTATAATAATTTGTTTAACCATTTTATTTAAATTTAAATTATTAAATTTTTTTTAACTTATCAGTTCATTATTCTTAAAATGTAAGTTAATATTAAGTAGAGTAAGTAAATAAGACTGCAGTTAAAGAAAACTCTGATTTTATTAAATTTAACATTAAAAAAACAGGTTAAATAATTAAAAAATGCATAATTTGAATATTTATTTATTATTATTATTATCATCAAATAATATACAAGATCCAATCAAAAAGTATCTGACTTTATTTTTTTTTTCTTTGCAAGTATTTGCAAGCTAGGGAGGAGATTATGTCATCATATGACCTTGAACCTAACTGCATTTGTGTGAATTTTGTGAGCCTGTCTTACCCTGCAGTCTCTGTCATGCAACTGAGATAGATGCATTAGACATGCAGCTATCTCAGTTGCAGTTTATAGCAGCAGTTAATGCTGTTATTATTGCATTAGTGATTAAGTCCCCACCCTGATATCCCCACCTTATGATGGTGGGGTTTGTGTGTGTCAATGACCCTGAGGGCTTAACCAGTGGTAGCCATGGCAGAAAGGTTGCTGGTGAGAGATCAAACCATGGGTGGATTTAGGTTTTTTGGGTGCCTAGGGCTTATTGAAGTCCAATGGGCCCCATTTTTTTTGTTAGATTAAGAATCTTTAAATTGGGGTTTAAAATTCATTTTAATAACATAAAAATCAGAGTTGAAATATATTTATTTATGAAATTAATGGAATTAATAAAAACATTAAAAATTTATTATAATAATTCAATTTTTGTGGGTCCTTGACACTTGGGGGCCCAGGACTCAAGCCCTATTAGTCCCTATATAGATTCGTCCCTGGGTCAGACTAAGGGAGGGTCCAACCCCCAACTTGGTCCTCCAGGTTGGGAGTTGGGGTTGGTCCCTCAAAAAAAAAAAAAAAAAAAAAGCTTTCATTAAAAATGGAATAACGTGGGAAGATGCCTCTGTGCTCATGTTAAAAGATGTGAACATGAGGTGAGATTCAATGTATGGAATGTTCAGGGTCTGTCTATGTTGAAAGAGCAACTGCTGTTAAATGTGACATATGAAGGAAAGGTGGATGTATTATGTGCATCTGAAACAAAATGTAAGGGTAAGTGCTTGAATGAGTGAGAGGGTTTTACATGCATCTTCTGGTGTTTATACAAGAGAATTTGGCAAATGTGGAGTGTTTCTCTATGTTAGTTTCTGTCTGAAAGAGTGTTTTAAATCTTATGAATGCATTAATGACAGGATTGTCTGGTTGAGAATGAAAGTATGTGTGATGTCTCTCTGGTTATTCAATTTGTACTTGGACAATATATGACACAGTAGAAAGAAGAGCAAATCAGTGTGAAAGTGAGTTGTGAGAGTTCAATTACTTATTATATGCTGATTATAGTGTTCTACTGGCTGAAAGCCAAAGTTAACTGCAGTATCTTATGTTGAAGTTGAATGAAAGCTGCAAAAAAATGGCATTAAATTGAGAGAAAACAAAAGTTTTAGTGTTTGAAAAAGATGAGCAAGTGAGTGAGTGCAAGATACAGCTGAATGGTGTGATGATAGAGCAGGTTAGTTTGTTTACTTGAGAGGAATGGCAGAATAGATAGGGAATTGGAAGATGAGTGAATGCTTGTATGAAAGTGGTTGGATGCACAGGGCATTTGGTTTGTAAGAATATGTTTCTGAAGAAGGCAAGTATGGCTATGTACAAGAGTATGGTCCTCTCAACTCTGCTTTATGGTTGTGAAACATGGGTGTGGGGAGCAAAGCATAAGCAGAATGACTGCAGCTGAGATGAGATCTCGAGGTATACATGAAGTGTGACAAGGAAAGAGCTAGTGAGTAATGAGGAAGTGTTGGTGTAGTTCGATGTGAAAGAGGATGCAATTGAGCAAGTGCATCAAAGATGTCTGCATTGATTTGGCCATGAAGAGAGAATGTCAAAAGATAAGGTGTATAAGAATGTGGAGGGAAGGAGAGAGTATGGAAGACTAAGGAAAAGATAGGCTGAGTAAGTGGAAGACTGTCTAAAAGAGAAACAGACAAAGAGTGAAAGAAGGATACTGAGAGTGTGTGAAAAGAGTCATGAATGTGGAAGAAGCAAAAGAGGTATGTATGGATACTGAGAGTATGGATATGTAGAGGTATGTATGGATAGACAGAAATGGCACAAGATTGTCAGATATGGGTGAAGTGCATCATTTCAGCAAGCTCTAGAGCAAAAGTTTGGTGAGTGTTCCTGGTGTGCTATGCCCTGCCCATATGACATTCTTTAGAGAAGTGAAGCTTGCAGGGTGCCATGCGCAGGAAAGACACTTTTTTCTTGGCCATCCCTTTAGGGAAGCTGTGACAGTGTAGTAGTAGTGGTGGTGGTGATTAAGTGAAAATGGAAGAACATGACAGATCCTGATTTCATGAAAATTATAACCAGAGATGACACTTGGGTCTAGGTATGATCCTGAAACAGAGGCAAATCATCCCAGTCAAAAATGCTATGGTTTCCATAGCCAAAGAAGGAACAGCAATCATGCAGCAATATGAAGGTAATGTTGATTTTTTTTACCACTAGAGCATAGTTCATCAGGAATATGCCTCTCATGGACAAACTGTGACAAAGGAGTACTATCTGACTGTTTTACATTATCTATGAGATGCTGTGATCTCTTATACCTAACAGCATTCATCATAACAATGCTCTGGCCCAGAGATCATATCTCATCCAGACATTCCTTGCAAAACATGGTATTGCACACATTCAGCAGCCTCCTTACTCCCTAGACCTAGCTCTAGCCAACTTTTGGCTCTTTCCTAAACTCAAGATGCCATTCAAAGGAAAGAAATTTCAGGATGCAAAGATGATCAAGACTAATGCAATAAAGTGTCTGATGGAGATCCTGATAAGTGACTTTGAAAAATGCTTCTAACAGTGAAAGCACTGTTGGAAGAAGTATGTGAACTCAAAAGGGGCCTATTTTGAAGGGAACTAGTGTATGAATCTAACAGATACATAGGTATTTTTCCCTGACCACAGGTCAGATACTTTTTGATCAGACCTTGTATAATGTCTTACTTTAATAATCTTTTCTTTTGCTTGTTCTTCTTCAGCTGCCTTCAGATTTTCAATAAGACTATATAATTCTTTTTTAATTACTTCTAATGATTCGCTCATGTCTTTGCTTCTTATTGTCAATTGCTGAACTATACTAGGAGTTTTTCCTTCTATTATTTTAAAAAAATATTATTACATTTTATTTCAGATAAAAATAAAATATTAAATTTATTGTCTAATTAATTGCACTGAAATATTTCCAAAGTTTATGTATCTTACCAAACAATTGAAGAACAAGTATTGAGATTTTATAAAATCTTTCTTCTTGTTTAATTTTGCCTGTTGAGAGAAAATCTTCAACTTCTTTTAATAATCTCTCTGCATCATTAGTTGTCTTACACAATGATGATTTTCGCGCAATAGTAACTAACAATTGACTTCCTTCTTTAAACCAGTCTTTGGCCTAAAATTTTATTAAAGAAGAATAATGTTTATTACGATTTAACAAAAAGATTTCCAGGACATATTTAATAACATAAAACCATCTTCATGATAGATTTGGTAAAGAAAGATGCATAATACAAATGTAAAAAAAAATTAGTGATTAATGGCAATTTTCAATGAGCTTTAAAACAAAATTAATTATAACATGATAAATATTTTGATTTTTCAAAATATTTCTTGAACCTTTATATAATTATTTATTTATATTTATACAGTAGTATTCTGATTAGAAAATATTAAAATTTTATGCAAAATTACTTGAAATCAAATAAAAAATTTAATATCTTACTTCTTCTATGAGCTGAAAACATTCTATAGCTATGTTAATAAGATGATGAACTTTGCTTATTTCTGCCTGAATTGAAGTCCATTTTATTCTTAATGCTTCTATTTCTCTTTGAATACTATCTGATTTGCTATATTTGAAAGTTCCCATAAAAATTCTAATTTTTTGATCCAAATGCTAATAAAAATAAATAAAAATATATTTTTTATTGTATATTTTGAAGATCAATTTGCAAATAAGAATATTTCATAATACCTCAACACCTTTCTGTAAATCTCTAAAAGTCCAAAGTGCTTGTTTGGCAGCATCTAAAGAATCTCTAAAACTATTTTCAATTGATTTCAACTGTTTCTGGACATCATCGATTTCGCGATTAATCTAAAATTTGGATTATTATTTATTAATTTTTAAAATAAAAATTTAATCTTATAATTACAATTATTTATAAATCAATAAATTATTAAAGAAATTATTTTTATCAAAAGAATAAATATTAAAAAGTAATTACATCTTTAAATTCAGCATTGAAATGACACATCTGAAGATTATCTTTCATTTTCTTCTTCTGTTCTTCTAATAATACAGTGAATTGGTCTTTACATGTTTTAATAAAATATAATATTTTTTCCTTATCTTTTCTTGCAGCATCAAAGGGTTCTAATTCAGAAATCTTGTTTATCAATTCTTTAGCTTCTTCTTCAACTTTTTTGAACAATTCTGTAATTGTAGTATGTGTAGTATCTAACTTTTGAAGCTGAATTTCTGCTTGAGTAGCGTCCTGTGAAAGTACTGTTGTTCGATATTCTGACTGTAGCTTTTCAATCAAATTATCTAACTAAATACATATATATATATATAAAGTTTTAATTAAAATTATTGATATCTCTTAAAAGATACAAAAATAAAATTCTTACTTCTTTCAAATTATGAAACAGTGCATTCATGTTTGCTACTAAAATCTGATAAGAAGCAACATCTTTCTGAAGTTTTGCATAAACACTTTGTAATTTTGATTTCATAACAGCTTCTTCTTCCTTTAGAGTTGATGATGGTGATATGAAATCTGATCTTTTAAAATATGCTTCTACTTCTGACTGAATTTGCTAAAATACATAAGTTTTGTTATGAAGATATTAATATGTTATGATATATATTAAAATGTTAATTAAACATATAAATATATCATATTATTCAAAGTACCTTTATTTTTGGAGCAGTATCATCAGAACAACGTTTCAAATATTCTACTACAATACCAACTTGATCCATATCACGTGACAAAATTGGGAATAAATTTCCTTCAAGTCTATGTACATTTTCAGTTGTCTAAAAAAATTTAACAAATTAAATACTTATATAAATATATGTAAGCATATCCCATTACTTAAATCTTAGTTTTCCATTACTTCTTACGAAAAGAATTCTAACTTTTTCCCAGTCATTCTGAATAATCTCAAGTAATTTCCCAAATGACATTAAAACATTAAAAAAATCTATTTACCTACCAATATGTATTTTTAGCAACATTACAATTTTTAATTACTTTTCTAACAAACACTAAATGAGGTCATTAAAGGATATGTTTATTAGTAACACAATAAATAAGTTTATATAGTCCTTGATATTAGGAATTGTACATGAACTGTATTTTCTTTAATATATATTCAGTGGACAGCAATGAAAATTTAATAATATTACAAGAAAGTGAGGGTATTAAGTGGGATAATAAATTATAGATGATGCCATTATACAAAATACAATAAATATCTAGGAACCTTTGCTTCCCAAATTAACTAGCACAACTTTCAAATTTTTCATAAATATAGTTTGAAGATATTAATAATTCCAAGATTACCAAGGATTTCTCCCACACCGGGTCATATACAACAAATATGCTTACTTCTTAACCAATATCCGGCGTGAAAACTCCAAACAAAGATTGGCAAACGCTTTCGATGCCCCTCCTGGGCTCTTCTTCAGGCCAAATTTACTGTACTGGATTCTTAAATCGAATGTTTTTAAATAAGAACGTGCTCAGTTACGGAAGGTAATCACGTGCTTTTCCAAATTATAATTAATTTTTTTATAAATTATATTCGTGGAGATATGTTGTGCGCATCCCATAATAATCTCGTGTATCTTATAATCACGTGCCGTTTCTAAAAATAATTTTAACTGCTGGCGATACGATTTTAACTAATCACGTGCCGTTTCTAAAAATAATTTTACTAGTAGCGATACGATGTGCGTATCCCCTAATAATCACGTGTATCGTATAATAAATTACGATTCATCATCCAATAGATACTGCCACGCTGTTGAAAGATTCATTTCTTCTTTAAGATTGATGCAGGTTAATTTGCGATCTGCTCTGTATATTTCCATCGCTTCCAAGGTTCTTAGATGTTCCTGATGACGAGTGGTGTGAATGATTCGTGCCTCATTAAAAATCGGGATTATGTCCGGGTTTGTTGCATATGTAGACAATGCTGTTGTATATTTGTTGTGGGTGATATCTGCTTTATGTTCCTTTATTCTAGTGGCTAACGGACGTTTAGTAGATCCTATGTAAATTAGTTGCCTCTGCCATCTGTCGTCTATTAAGGGAATGGTGTATATTCCCGGTAGTCTGTTCGGGTTATGGGCGTCTTTTCCGTTCCTTAATAAATTATATATGGAAGGGTTTCTTCTGTATGTAATTCTAATTCCTTTTTTCTTTGCAATTGAATTATATATCATTTTCATTTGCGGGTTGTATGTTACCGGGATTCTTTCCATATGTTCCTTATCAACTGTTCCTGATGTCTTTTCTTCATCCGTTTTACTGTTTATGTG